GTGCTAAGTTCTGATGGAGTGGCCTTGTGGTTCTTTCAGTTTTCACTGTAGTTTTCCCATTCGGTAGTTAGTGACCAGCTGATGCCCTTTCTGACTCCTTGAAAGGCCACATGTTGGACCTCTTGAGTTCAGGTGACCTTGTATCATCTGACTGCTCCTTGTGGTCTGGCTGCTCAAGCAATACCAAAACCATTCCTTAATTTGGCACCCCACGGAGTTGAGGCAATCTACATTTCCCCTTCAGAATTTCCAGAGTAAGCATAAAGAAGAGATCCTTAGTTGTTTGAGAAGAATGTTGGTTTTGTCTTCCCTCATTCAAGAAACCTCTCAGTCTGATTTAAATAAAATTGGCTTAAAACATTAGTGCTTTTAAATGTTTCAATACAAATAAATCAATATGGAAGTGAAGAGGGAAGTTGGGCAGGGTTACCAGTTCATGCTTTGAAAATAAGCCGAAAGCATAGTTGAACCTGTGGAGCAAACCAGTATGTGAAGGGTTCATCTTCCTAGTTTGTGTGGTATTGTCAAGTTTCATTTGTCCTTGGGTAGCGAGGACAGGCTGTGTGAGGTGGCCAAAGTAAGGATATGCTTTTCCCCAAGGGCTAGCTGCTGAGGTTGCTTTTGCATACAGTTCTTGGGTTTCCTGCCAGCTTCACCTTAACATTTACAAGCCTGTCTTAATGCAGTTTACGTTTCTCCACTGCCAACATCTCCGTTTCCTGATCTTACGCTGTTCAAGGCTCAGCAAAGGCACTTACTCCCTTTTCCACAACCCATGCCTGCTTCATCCCATCTTCTGTTGAGTATCTTGCTCTGCCAGGTGGCTGGTGGGTTTGGTGGCCAGCCATCATGACAGCCTGCCCCTGACACCAGGATCTGCTCTGTCGCTCTTCCTGAAATGAGCTGCTTGTACCAACCCCTTCAGGAATGGAGCACTTCTGAAGCTTTGCGCTCTGGTGTGGTTTTGCTCACCCCTGCCTTCCTGTTGCTGCATGGTTGCTTCTCCCAGGAACTACTCAGCTGGTGCTCTTGGCAGCTTCCTTTGCTTCTAACTAGTCACACATGTTCATCTTCAGAAATGTGCGCTATATCCTGGTAAAAGTGGCAGAGGTCTTCTTCAGAGGGTGTGAATGGGATTCCTCCCCCGCACCCGGATCTAACCACCTGCTGATGCGGGAACAAAGCACTGTTCCCATCGCCGTGGTTTGCTGATACATGTTACTGGCTTTCTTCTGCTACAGATAGCAGTGAGGAAGCACAGTAAACAGAAGGTCTTTCCTGCCCTACGGTTGCCAGGATATACAGCTGTGAGACCGGGGAGTTTGATCCACTCATCAGGTATCCACAGCTGCCTGGGGCATCCCCGTGTGAGCAGGAGGGGAGGCAGGAGGGCATCTGCGACTATGGATGGGGGGCCAGCAGCTGCACTGTGGGACCTGCAAGTGGGCTGGGATGCCAGGCAGTACTGCTGTGGAGGCTGCAGGTGCAAATAATCCCTGTGTGCTGCACCCTGCTTTCTTCTAATGAGCTTTTATAAGTGGATGACCGAGGGAACAGATTTTCAAGCAGTATCATGAAAAACTGCTGACTGACATAGGAAAACAAGTGAAAAATCTTTATCCGTTGCCCTCATGATTGGGAAGGCAGCTCTGGCTCTCTTTCTGTAACATATCACCTCTGCGCTGTCATCCAGAGAGGTCTCTGAGGCAGCCCAAAATGCTTGTTTTGTGCAGCCAGAGCAATTTTTTAATGAAGGTGATCATCTTTCAGCTTGCCCTGGGACAGCTAGACCACATAAGTCAAGATAAAACTTGCAATTGTGTTTTATTAAGAGACTATTATTCCTCTGGCTTCTCTGATTTCTCCCCACCCCATTCTGCTAGCAATTATCTTCATGGGAGCCAATGAAATGAAATGCAAAAAGCAGCCATGTCACAATGACCATGGCAGATTTTTATAGTTTATCAAGATCACTGAGGGTTAAAAGGAATCCCTTTTCTGCTCTCAAGAGCTATTCATTTAGATACCTTGAGAATAATTGGCTCCTCTCCCTTGGGAGCTGCTGAATCACTTCTCCCCAGACTTGACTCATCCATATGGTTCTCACAAGGCAAGTGTGATGGTGAAGTTTTGAAATCTTTGCTGATTTGAACTTCACTCATGTCTGAGGAGACGTTGTTAAAATTCGGAAACAATTTGATACTGCTGCCTTCTTCCCAGCAAAAGCAGCCCTGGTCTGTGGGCTTTAGCAAAGATGAACTGGAGCAGCATGAGAGCACCAGCACACCGCTGGTGCCTCGCTAAGAGGGAGGCTTTGCTTCATACATGCCAAGTCTGAGAACTGTGCTGACAGCGTTCAGACTTTCACTCGGCCAATAAAGGCCTCTGAGAACTTGGGAAAGTCACCTAAATTGTAGTTTTCTTCAGTTTTCCATCTGGAAAACAGAGATTCCCGTCTCCCTGCAGAAACAAAAATATCTTTCTTGCAGGAGATGAAGGCAGGGGCATGGGTCTTGGCAAAATGGATGAAACAGGTTGGGCCAGCTTCAGTGGCCGAGTGTCCTGCCCCCTGGTACAGTGTGAGCTCCTCACCTTCCCTCGCTGCTGCTGCTTTGGTGGGTTTGGACCCTGCGTGGAGCTGATTCAACTCGCAGAAAACTAACCAAGAAAAGAAGTAAGAAGC